AGGGCCACCTTAGCAAAGCGCATCCCAGGCTGCATAGCCGCACTACCCTACCCAACCATACCACACATAAACATGACACTACCCCCGGGGTTTACACAGACGAGCCGGCGAAGCAAGAAGAGCGCCAGAAGAAAGGGCCCTAGCCGGCGGGGCCCAGCCAGGACAAAAGGAGGTCCCACAAAGCGCCTACACCGGCCGCATTTGCGGTCGGGGTAGACGACGGATGGGGCCCACCTACGAAGGCTGTCCAGGCCTACACGAAATGAGGCAGGATAAAGAGGGATAATCCCCCTCGATCCCAAATCATTGAGGCCAATTTCTAGCCATGGAATAATGGCGCGAGTTGGCACGGATGTCAAAGTTTGCAGCTTGCGAGGTTTCACGCGCACTTCAACTCGTTTGCCAGTTCGAGATTTTATTCTGAATGGCTACATTGAAATGCGAAAGGTAAGCACGCGTGGCCAAGTCAGACTTCGCCCGTAAATTGATTGTGAATGGGGTTTTATGATTCCGAAATCATGAATAAAAGAAAAGGGCTTTAGATCTGTGATTGAATGAGAATGAATCTCATTGGTTGCTGTTTCTTAAAGATCACAGTAGCATGCAATCAAATTACTGGACCCTCTCAACCAGTGAATGTGCGAGATAGGATGAAGTTAGTAAAGTTCTTTCTAACCAGCGGTGATCAATTGTCATGTCAAGATATTTTTGTAGACATAACCTAACTTAACATAACCCTAAGAAAAAATATACTTTTAAGCAAAATAACAATTAAGCTAATCAGAAAAATGCAGCGGGACAGACGTGCGAATGCGGGCAACCGCATGGCGAAACTTCTCGACGAAGAGGAAGAATGCCAGGACGAATTTTACAAGCAAAACTACGGTGGTTTTGAGGAGACGGAATCAGACAATGAATACGAGTAAGCAAATACAGACACCAATTGTACCACCAAATTGTATGTGTTTTATATTTTAGAGCCGAAGAGGAAGGGGACGATATAGTGGACTCGGATTTCAGTATCGATGAGAACGATGAGCCGGTTTCTGACAACGAAGGGGAAGGCGAGCAGAAAAAGAAAAGGAGGCTCATTACAAAAGCATATAAGGTACGATAACTTTGAACAAAGCCAACAGATGGTAGTTGCATTGCAATTTTAGGAACCAGTCCCGACTCAGAAAAAGGAGAAGCAAAAACCAAAAATCATAAAGATTACACCAAAACCTAGAACTAGTTTACAACATGCGATTCATGAAACTTATGGTAAGTCCATACTTCCACACTAAATTAATTTTGATGTAATATTTTCGTTCAGAAAGGAAATCAATCAGGAAGTCAACAGCTGCGAAATCAGCGGCGACTGCCCAGAGGATAAAAGTGAGGGATTTGGAGCAGAGGAAAAAAGTGAAGAAACCCAAGGAGGAAGAATGGGTGCCTACTCAGGAAGAACTACTGGAGGAAGCCAAAATAACAGAACTGGAAAATATTAAGTCACTAGGTGAGCCGTATCAATACTTTTTTTATCATTGTCAACAAAATCATTCTTTGTAGAGAAATACCAAAAAATGGAAAGCGAGAAGAAGACAAAGAGGCCGATAAAGAAAGTGTTTTCTGGTCCTACGATTCAGTATAGATCAACCAGGATGCCAGTAATAGAAGAAATTGACAATAGTGAAAAGTATGTTTATAAAATAACATTTTTTTTTATCATCATACAGGGAGTAACTTTGAATGGTAACTTTTTTATAAGAAGACTGCCTTTAGAAACACACATCCTACATTTGTTTTCCCAAATTATGGAATTGAATTGAATTTTATTACTCTTTTTTTCATAATTTTATTACCCCACCGTACAGAAACACAGAAAATTAACAATGAACATACACAAACACACCATACCGTCTCTAAACACGTGTGATTCTTGTTTCACTGTATTAAAGTTGGTCGATTGTTTTTTTACCCATCTAGTACCATGTTGTCATATCACTTCAGGAGCATTGTTAAGTCATAAAAAAGCAGTCAGTTTTTATAAAATTTTGAATTCAGGAACTGCCCAGTGATGATGTAGACAACAGTTTGGGTACAGTTTAAAAAACGATTTATGACGACTGATTATTTGATAAAAAAATAATTTCAGGTTAGCATTCTGGGAACTATGTACTATTTCCTCTAAAAAAACTAACCCCCATTAAAGATACACCTTAGGCTTTTATTATGGCAACGATTCCATTGTATAATATCTTTGTTACTTTTTTTTTGTCGTTTTCTATATTCGTATATTTATTGTTTTTATAAATGTCTTTTATTCTATTTAATAATAATTTGTCATCTATACACACAAAAATTATATTTTAATTTCTAGTGGCGTTAAAAAGGAAAACATCAAACCGTCGAAAGAATATCACGAACGAACGTTTATAACAATACTAAATGATCCTAATAACATAATTTACAAAAAGATATTCAACGTTAAACCTCCCCCTGTCCCACCGAAGAAATTGAAATGTGTTGTTACCGGGTAAGTCTGTAAACTTTCCCAAGAAAAAAACCACCACAATTACATCGTGTTCTCTTTTAGTTTACCTGCAAAATATGTCGACCCGGTGACTTGCGTCCCATACCACAACAGCTCGTGCCTGAAGATCGTGCGGATGGCATACTACGACTACCTCGAGAATAACGGCGATCGTAACAACGGCATAGTGGCGGATTTCCTCAGGTGGTACTCGAAGAACAAACGAAGGCTGAGGAGTGAGATGTTGATGTCGGAGCAAAAGGTTCTGTTTCAGTAAGGGATTGGGCGAGTATTATGAAAGTGGAATTGTATTTAATTTTTTTTTAAATAAATATTCATTTATATAATAGTTTTTAATGAGAGTAATTTTACAGCATTTTTTTAATTAAATTTTAAAAAATTGTATTAGCAATTTTTCTTTTCTGAAATCTAATAATATTATTCTACATACGTTATTAAAGATTAATAACACAGGCACACAAAAAAAATGTCAAGATCCAGTGGGTAGACCCCCCCCTACCCCTCCTTTTTGAGGTTGCTGAAACCGAATATGACCATAAAGTAAATTTTAACTAGCCATTTCCCCATTACCACCCCCATAAACCCCCTTCTGCGAGTTGAAATGTCAATTCTCATACAAAGTCGAGTAGGGTGTGTATTCCTATATTTTCTGGGCCACTAAGAACGAAGAAGACTACCAAAAATGAATTAGACCCCCTCGTTACCCCCTAGCGTCACTTTACTACCCCTATACACCCTCTTTTGGGAGTTGAAATGTCAAGTAGGGTAAGTATTCCTATGTTTTCTGGGCCACTAAGAACGAAGAAGACTACCAAAAAATGAATAAGACCCCCTCATTAACCCCTAGCGTCACTTTACCACCCCCATACACCCCTTTATGGGGGTTGAAGTGTCAGTTTTCATACACAGTCAAGTGGGTTGTGTATGCCTTCGTTTTTTAGGCTGCTGAAAACAAAGAAGATTACCGAAAATGAATCCAACCCCCTCGTCAACCTCCAGCACCCTTTTCCACTCACATACATGCCCTCATGAGGGTTGGAATGGCAATCTTCATACAAAGTCAAGTGCGGCGTGATTCGGGGTAACTTTTGGGAGGAGTCCCCTCGTCTCTCATAGTTCAGGGTACTTTTTCAACCGTAAGTCCCCTCGTTTTTCCGAAATCGGAATACTCTTGACTTGACTTTGAATGTGACATGTCACTTTTTGCAAACTAGTTTGTAATTTACCACAATATCAGCAAACACCTAAAAAAGGCATGCAGACGAGACTATTTTTAGGTAATTGCAATTATTTGAAATCTAAATGGAACAAATAAGTGTTGCAATTGTACTGGGGTGTACTCATGGGCATAGCTACGACTTTTGCTTGGGGTGGGCCAAGGGCTACAAGCGTCTAAAAACAAAATTTAAAAAAAACGCTTATCCACTTATCCATATTTGAACATGTTTTGATTTGATTCTTACAAAAAAAGGGCACCGACTTACCGATATGTCAAAGATGATAGTAGATCTTTTTTTCTGGGGTGGGCCATACACACCCCTGCCCCCCTAGCTACGCCCATGGGTGTACTTGCGTCATTTTTCTGTAAATTTAGGAATGAACCTTTAAAGTAATGCAATTGTTTTTAAAGCTCACAGAGTAAATGTAAAGTAATACGAGTAAACATTAAATTTAACTTCCCTTTCCGGCGATTTATGTAAGAAATGCAAAGCTTGGGATACCACTGCTATTTTGAACAGATTAGCCAATGCTACACTTTTCGAATTCTAATAAATTAAAAAAACTTGTAATACAAAGTACCTATATTAAAATTCACGGTCAATCGAATCGGCCTTTGGCACACATTGGTTTTATTTTAATCATCGTTTATATTATGCTCATAAAAAAATGATAAAAACTTTAAACTAGGTCTTTTTAGTTCAAACAATCTTAAAAACGTTTTATTAATTTTGTGTGATATTTAATTTTGGCGCTGTTTTTCAGACCTTGAAAACTGAGCTACAATTGGCTATTTACAAAACAATAAAAAAACAGCCAATCGCCTTATGAACCTCTTATAAGGATAAATGTAATTGGCTCTTGTTTAAATTTTGGAAGATTAAGTTGTCTTTGAATTTTGCGATACGGGCTCTTAGTTTTTTGTTTAATATGGCCGAAGAGTAAAATGTGCTGCGCGTAGTTTCTAGTCGTAAATAAGTATTTTGTTCTATCTATTTAATGTCATATGTTGTTGTCAGTTGTATATAATATTATTATTTATTAAAGCCAAAGCTTTTATTAAAAAATGAAGGCGAAAAAAGTAATTCAGGAATTTATGGACCTTATGAAAAAGGTAAGCATTTTTTCTTTCGTGTATTCGATACGCTTTTATTTTGTATTATTTAGATGCTGCATAAGTCAAAGATTGAAAAACTGCAGGCGTACTTGCAAAATCTGTCTAAGATGAGTTTTAACGAATCTGAAGTCGAATATTTAATGAAAGCCGTTTTACAATATATTGACATAGTAATAAACATATCTGCGAACAAAGGACATAGAGATCAAATTAGAATATGCAATCAATGGATGGATGCGTTACAGGTCAGTCAATATATGTTAATTATATTCGCCTTTGTTGACAAAATGTACATTGTATAATTTCTAGGTAGTTATAACAGATGATGTTAGAGCAGTTTTTATGAAAAAAGTTACACAGAGAATTTTTGATTTCTTGATTGAAGAAGACGTCAATACCTGGTGCATAAAGAAAGAACTCTTGAGGATGTTTTTAACTTGCGTGCAGAAATCACCGAAGGAAGTCAGAAATAAAACTGCACAGGAACTTCCGGATATATATCTGTAAGTGTTTCTTATGTAGTGTTTCATTCGTATGATCTGATAAGATTTTTATGTAGTTTTAAAATCGTTGATTCCATAAGCACCTATGGCGATTATGATTTTCAAGTGATTTTGATAGAAACTGTGTTCCGTTTGTTTGGGAAAAACACAATTCTATCAAATCTAACGGATCTAATACCGGAATCTCAAGAATTAACCGACAGTTTTGCCGATATTAACGGTGAGACATTCGACGAAGATGTCAGAAAATTTTTGAATATTTTAAACCAGAATTCCAAGAAGGTTTTTTCTGTGGTGTGCCGAGATGTTTTTTTGGGCAAAATTAAATGCGGGGAACCGATGGTAAGTGAAAATATTATATTTTTTTATCTTTATTAAGTTTTAATTGAAGAGTTTATGTAGAATTATGCAAGGTGTGACTTTGAATAGGAGTTATATTTATACGAAGGGTAACTTTGACCTTTAGAAACAAGTTCGCTTTCTAAAATTCCATTGTGAGTTTTTTTCATAGATTTGACAGTATACTATTGATGGAGCCAAAGCCCACTTTCTGTGTTTTTTCTGTGCTTTATAAGGCTTTTTTTCGCGAGTGAAGTCGTATGTTGTAGTATGTGTAGTATGAGTGAATATTACGTTTTTGCGAGAATAGTCAGTCATTTAAACTACTATGTGACGTCACAAGTTTAGATCAAATGACTGAACTCTTCACCCTTCAGCTGAATATTCTGTTGGTATATTCAACTAGACATATTGCTTTTTGGAAAATTTTGCACCCTGTTTTTTGACAATAATGATAATCTGTGGTAAACAGTTTCTCTTTAATATTATATGGATTTTCTGACATCTGTCATAAAACAAATAAATACCAATCACATTTTCTATAGGCTTTTTTTCGCGAGTGAATATTGGTGAATACGTCTGACTTGTAGTTACTGTTTCTATCTCTTTTAATCTTATTTCTAACCTTGTCTAACCTGAACAGATGGCGAAAATGTATATATTCACTATTCAGTGATATGTAGTATGTACTTTGACGACTTTGACATATGGGTTTTAACTTCTAACCAGTAACCATAATTTGTCATCATTTATTGCTTCCAGTAATCTAGTGTTGTGGGAATTGGTGTTATATCTCACTATATAATATATGTATTTGCTTCAAATAAAACTGAAGGAATATATCAATGCTTTCTTTGGAATATTTTTAAGTGGCAAATTTAAAAAGCGTGAAAAGTATGTAGATTCTGACGTTGCAAGATATGCGAATATTCGACATAATCGTTATCGTAAGAGAATGGAAGGTTAGGTCGGTTTTTTATGTAATTCATACGAAAAAGACTTGAATTACAAATGATTCCACCAATATTATCTCTGGCCTAGGTCACAAAAAAAAAGAGGATAATCCTGAAGCAAAGTGGATTGCAAATATGTCCCATATAAAAAATTAATCTCACCATCAAGTAAAATATTTGCTGTTTCAACGTCTATGTAAAAAAGCCTATAGTTGTTCCAACTTGACCTAGGATAAAATCGCAGGACATTGATTTAAAAAGAAACTCTATTTCTGATTAGGAAATTGATTTTTTTTTGTAGTAGTAGTACAACAATTAAAAAAAATCTATATGTAATAACACTTAACGTAATGGACATAACAAATTTTTTTAATGTTTAATGTTTTTCTATTATCTCTCAGCTTACATATGAAATCATTAAACTTGTAATTCTGAACTTTTTTGTGTCGCAAAATATCACATTTTGTGACACATATTGCTTTTTGGAAAATTTTGCACCCTGTTTTTTGACAATAATGATAATCTGTGGTAAACAGTTTCTCTTTAATATTATATGGATTTTCTGACATCTGTCATAAAACAAATAAATACCAATCACATTTTCTATAGGCTTTTTTTCGCGAGTGAATATTGGTGAATACGTCTGACTTGTAGTTACTGTTTCTATCTCTTTTAATCTTATTTCTAACCTTGTCTAACCTGAACAGATGGCGAAAATGTATATATTCACTATTCAGTGATATGTAGTATGTACTTTGACGACTTTGACATATGGGTTTTAACTTCTAACCAGTAACCATAATTTGTCATCATTTATTGCTTCCAGTAATCTAGTGTTGTGGGAATTGGTGTTATATCTCACTATATAATATATGTATTTGCTTCAAATAAAACTGAAGGAATATATCAATGCTTTCTTTGGAATATTTTTAAGTGGCAAATTTAAAAAGCGTGAAAAGTATGTAGATTCTGACGTTGCAAGATATGCGAATATTCGACATAATCGTTATCGTAAGAGAATGGAAGGTTAGGTCGGTTTTTTATGTAATTCATACGAAAAAGACTTGAATTACAAATGATTCCACCAATATTATCTCTGGCCTAGGTCACAAAAAAAAAGAGGATAATCCTGAAGCAAAGTGGATTGCAAATATGTCCCATATAAAAAATGAATCTCACCATCAAGTAAAATATTTGCTGTTTCAA